CTCACAACAGAGGCATCTAATCAAACCGAGGGTGTCAGGGAATGAATCCTGGAGGAAGTAATATCTAACCTGAAGTCTTCAGGCTCTAGGGTAGCTTGCCAGTTAAACTGGTGAAGGAGTAAACTTCTAAGCAGAGGAAATCACATATTTTCAGGTCTAGGGGCAATTCAAATCTAGTTCAAAGGAATAGAAGAACCTCCCGTGTGTGTGTGTGTGACTGTGTGTTTGTATGCGTATGCCGAAAATTTTAAAAATGAACCTGAACCTAGGTAGTCAGGGGACATATTGCAAAGGGCTTTGTAAGTCATGTTCGGAATTTTGGATTTCTGTTAAGAGTAATGGTGAGGTACCAGTAGTTTTAAGTGAGGAAGAATTATATGTGTATAGTTATTGTGCTTTGCTTTCTGATGGCTCTTGGGGCATTTTTCTAAAAATGATGAATTTCTAACCTTAATGATTACATTGCATTTAGCATAAACTCAATCTGGACTATGTACCTGAAAATAACTTGTTGGATTAACTGGCTTTTTAAATTCCTTTGTAAAACACACAGACTTAACATTTATAGCAAATGCAGCTATCAGCTTACATCTTTTGAATGTCTGCCTGTGTTTACGTCTATCAGTTGGTTGTGCTTGTGCCAAAAGTCAGTTATATTTTTTACAAACTTTTTTTTTTTTTTTTTTTTTTTTTTTTTTATAAGGAATAGACATAATATGGATTTGAAAGAAGTAAATTTTTCTTATTAAAACTAAGTTTAGGCCAGGTGCGGTGGCTCATGCCTGTAATCCTAGCACTTTGGGAGGCCGAGGTGGGCGGGTCACCTGAGTTCAGGAGTTCAAGACCAGCCTGGCCAACATGGCGAAACCCAGTCTCTACTAAAAATACAAAAACTAGCCTAGCGTGGTGGCATGAACATGTTATCCCAGCTACTGGGGAGGCTGAGGCAGGAGAATTGCTTGAACCCGAGAAATAGAGGCTGTAGTGAGCTGAGTTTGCTCCATTGCACTATAGCCTGGGTGACAAGGACAAGACTCTGTCTCAAAAATAAATAAATAATAATAATAAAAATAAAAACTAAGTTTAATGCTAAGTTTGTGAGAAAATTCTACAAGTTTGGAGAAAAAAATTGAACATAGAAGGACTTGGCACTCTAATTGTGTAGCAAGAGTCTTTGAGAGCTTCCATTAAACTAAATAAACCTGCAAATCATAGTGGTGTATCAAAATTGTGGTTTATGACCTCAAATCCGAGGATGTGGTTGAATACTCGAAGAAAAATTCTTGGCCCTATACCAAAATATTTGTAAATGAATATTTATTTATTTATTCTAGGGTAAAATAAGTGGTTTACAATACACTTAAGATGTATTGACTTTAGTCTCTTGATGAACTTTTTTGATTTGCCCACTACTAGCCCCAATGGCATCAGATAATATGGCTTTTTTATATTGCACAGAAATTAAGTATAAACTACACGAATAATGAAGCACCTAAAAACCATTTACATACTCTTGACTGACACTTATCTCTTGAAACAGTCCATAGTATTGAAAGATTTGAGGTCCACCCTGTACTGGGGTCCATGATCCAGTGGCCTTGCCTCCAGAAGGTCTGCTTCTACTATGTTAAAAATAACTTGGCTACCCCAAGGCAGGATGACAGAAATCCTGGCAGCCAGCATTCCTTTCCTTCTGATCCACCAGTCAGGCTTTTGGAGCCATTTCCATTTTCTCCTTTCTTCTCTCCAGGAGCAGAGGTAACTTGGAAGAGATTGCAATAAAAACAGCTTGATGAGACTAATGGAAACTTGCCGCATTCAGCTCTGGAGCCCCCTCCCCCTTTCCCTGGTTCCTGCTCATAACAGACCAGGGAAAGTCCTGACGGAAGAATGATGTTTAGTGTGAGGGGCCTCACTTTAGCATCTATGTGGTCCACATAGCTTATTTTTGTTTAAAAAAATCACTGAAAAGACAATACAAACATAGAAGTTTCAAATGGTGTGGAAAGGTAAAGTCACACACTATAAATGTAGACCTTGGCAAGACACGGAGCCTCTCTGATTGCTGGTGTTTCCATTTGCTAAATAGGATAATGAGAGCTAATTTATAGAGATACTCTGAAGATATAATGATATAATATATGCCAAATGCCTTTTGTTATTTTATTTATGGTTATTGTGTCAGTCCATCTGCATTGCAGTAAACTTTGAGTTACATAAAGAAAAGTGGTTTACTTTGAGTCAGTTGTGCAGGCAATGGAAGTGTGGTGCCAGTACCTGCTCTGGTGAGGCCTTTGGAAGCTTACCATCATGGTGGATGATAAAAGGGAGCCAGTGTGTCACATGGTGAGAGAGTAAGCAAGAGAGAGAGAGAGAGGAGGGAGTTGCCACACTTTTAAACAACCAGATCTCTTGTGACCTCAGAGGAAGAACTCAGTTATTACCATGAGGAGGGCATCAAGTCATTCATGAGGGACCCTCCCCTATGACCCAAACACCTCCCACTAGTCCCCACCTCCAACATTGGAGGTCACATTTCAATATGAGATTTGGAAGGGATAAAACATCTAAACCAAAAGTTATAATACACTATTTTCATTTGGTTAATAAAAAAATAATTTTCCAGTACTGAGAAGTTTGTTGTTTTCCAGCATATTGAAAACACTGGGAGGCACAAGATAAGAATGATGAGGGTGGAAAGGGACAATGAACTACCATGGTAAATGGGACGATGTCACAGCAGAGGATATTTATATTGCACTATGAGATGTCCCACAGGTACTCCAAATACAAAGAGACCACAACTGAACTAGCCGAGGCTCATTACTCCAGGCCAGTTAATATTAAGGTCATATGCAGCCACCTAAGAACTCAATTTGTCGACTTAGCTGTCACACTGGGCACATCTCCTCCTCTTCCCAATTAACCATATCTGCTTATTGTAGGCTTATATACTGTGTCTCTCACTCTTTCCTTCTCCTTTTCAGTTTCAGTGACCTTTGGAATCTCCTCATGGGTTTTGGCAAACACCTCTAAACTGGCATCTTCTCTTCCAATTTATCCCCCTCTAAGTCATCTACCATAGTGATAGCAAAGTGATCCTTCAAAAATACACAACTGGGCCAGGCGTGGTGGCTCACGCCTATAACCCCAGCACTTTGAGGGGGGCGAGGTGGACGGATCACAAGGTCAGGAGATCGAGACCATCCTGGCCAACATGGTGAAACCCCATCTCTACTAAAATACAAAAATAATTAGCAGAGCATGGTGGCACACACCTGTAGTCCCAACTACTTGGGAGGCTGAGGCAGGGAAATCACTAGAACCTGGGAGGCAGAGGTTGCTGTGAGCCAAGATTGTGCTATTGCACTCCAGCCTGGAGACAGAGTGAGACTCTGTCTCAAAAAACTAAAATGCACAATTGATAGCAATTCTCTTCCCTGATTAATTTCTTTCATTACCAACAGTGTAAATTTCAATTTCTGTATGCAGCATCCAAGGTTATTACAGAAGTTAACAAATGTTAAGTACTTGAACAGTGTGTGGCACACCGTAAGTACTACAGAAATGCTTGCCATTATTATTTTTTAATGACGTGGTCTCCACTCTCTTCTTCAATCGAAAACACTATCACTCCTCCATTAGAATCATTGCTCACACTTTTCCAAGCCCACTGTGCTGTTACACACCTCTGGGCTTCACACACAAATACACAAACTCTCTCTCTCTCACACACACACACACACAAACACACAATCTCTCTCTCTCTCTCTCTCTCTCTCTCTCTCTCTCTCTCTTCCACGTTCTTGATCCTGATTTCTCCATTTCTCCATTTCACTTTTTGTTTTTTG